AAAACACACAGGTTGATCCTCCAGAGGAAAAAGGAACTAATCAGAAACAAATTTTGACTCAGTCCCTAACTGGATTTCCAAGTTCTGAAACAACATCTTATAACATACAGCTACCGTTTGGTACTAATAAGAAGTGGCTTTAGCTACAGTTATGTTCCTTACAAGATGAGGCCGAAGAAACCAAACGAGTGCAGTAACAGGAAGAAAAAGCCACTAAAACTAAATCTACATATTTCCATTACCCTTTAAAAAATGAACAACAATTTCATCTTATCATTCGATCCACTGTTCATATTAAATACAGATTTATGCAGCTTTTTAATATTATCAAATCTGAAAATGCCTGGGCCTCAGACACTCTGTGTCACACGTCTACAGATCCTGTTCAATCATCATTACCTGTGTGACATTGTCTTCATCTGAGCTGTTGTAACGAGCAACATCTGCAGACACTTGGAACTTGGACTCCATAAACTGAGGCTGAGTCTCTGGGGCACTGAAGCTGTTAGGGTAGTAGTTTGGAGCGCCACCTGGTGGTCAAACAAAAACACTGGTGAGGCAGTGAAGGAAAGAAAGAAAAAATGAACAAAGACGAGATGTTTGTGGAAAACCATAATCAGTGACTACAGTGATGACATACGTTATTCACACATCTACCACTGTACAATACCGAAATGTAGCAATAAAATTAATGTTTTATCGCTAGTTTTTACATTTTGTGCACAATGTAGATGACTGTGGTTATGCATGTAATGTCCATGTTATAAAATTATTTCTAATTATTTTATATAATAAGGGTGTTTTTGGATGACTAAGATTTTTTAAAACACCATCACTGATCGTCTACTTCAAAGGTGATATGCACTTGTGTATATGTCACAGAACTCAGTATAAATAAACTGTAACACTACCTGGATTAAAATTACAGGATTACTCAAGATTCATTTCTGAGCCACAGGTACCAGACCTGATCACGTCTCACCTTGGTTGTCATGCATGCACATCGGACCATCACGCTGGTAGTTGGCCACACGAGCCCTGAAGGGGCAGTTGACAGGGATCTGCAGGTAGTTTGCCCCCAGCCGGTGACGATGCGTGTCTGGGTAGGAGAAGAGGCGACCCTAGACAAAGAACATGGAGGACAGAGCTCAATACCAACCTAGCTTTTCTTCATTCCCCCCTAGCTTGTCAAATCTGCCATAATGTCACCTGCAGCATCTTGTCAGGGCTGGGCTCGATGCCTGGTGGCATGTTGCTTGGGTCAAAGGCCGCCTGCTCCACCTCTGCAAAGTAGTTGACTGGGTTCCTGTTCAGAACCAGTTTGCCCACAGGGATCAGTGGGTATTCTTTATGTGACCAAACCTGGATCGTGAATAAAATTTACAAATCACAAAAGTCATCTGTGATTTTCAAATGAGCACGTCATTATTTAGAGACATCCTGTGATAATATGGACGTTTTTGGAAAACAAGTTACCAAGTCACTGCACATTTATGTCACGTATTACTTTATAACTCAGATGTTTGCTGTTGTGCAGAACTGCAGTACCTTTGTAAGATCAAACGGGTTGAACCGGAACTTCTCAGCCTGCTCAAAGGTCATGACCTGGATGTAAAAGGTCCAGGATGGGTAGTTTCCATTAGCAATAGCATTGAACAGGTCTGCAATTCCATAATCTGGGTTGGTAGCTGCCAGGCGGTCTGCATCTTCCACCGTCAAATTCTTTATTCCTTGATCAGTCTAAAAAATTAATTTAAAAAAAAATGAAGTCAGAGATGGCAGAACACGCAACATAACAGCTAATAAAGCTGATCTCAGGCAGACCTTATAGTGGAATTTGCAGTAGACACGTTCACCATCGGCATTGACCAGTTTGAAGGTGTGAGAGCCGTAGCCATTCATGTGACGGTGGCCATCAGGCAAACCTCGATCGCTGAACAAGAAAGACACCTGCACAGGAGACAAGACAAGACAAGACCATGAAAACAACTACAAGAGTTTCTGTTCCAATCACTGTCAATGATGACTAAACTAACTAAATGACTAAAGACAGCGAGCAACAGTGCACAGAAAGACTTAATTACTTGAAAATATTCTTTATCCTAAATGTGTATTTTAGAAACACCTCAGGTGACATGACATAATATACTAGACTTTTCAGTATCAGGCTCAGCAGCATCTACCTGATGCAGACTCTCAGGCCTCAAACTCCAGAAGTCCCACACCATGTCAGGGTCTTTCATGTGGGTTTGGGGATTGCGCTTCTGGGAATGGATGAAGGATGGGAACTGCACGAGATTAACGAGATATCAATATAAAACAATGTACACTTGACTGATATTAGCACAAGTGTTGTGAGGAATGTGTCTCAGGTCTTAGTCATCTTACAGTAGGAATAATAATCTTGGTTTATTTCATACCCCTTCGGGTTAGATATTTAATGTTAAAAAAAGGAGACACAAAACTGAAAAAGCATCCACACTTAACTATTTCCATGTTAGAAAAAAAATGTACTGCTGTAATACTGCAACTGATGCAAATTTTATACAAATCTGTAACATTACGGTCTGCCCAGACACATGCGTCCCTACACCTACTCACCAGCATGGCATCCCTGATGAAGAAAATTGGGGTATTGTTGCCCGTCAGGTCCCAGTTGCCATCTTCAGTGTAAAACTTGACTGCAAAACCTCGAGGGTCACGCACAGTGTCTGCAGATCCAGACTCTCCAGCTGGGAAAATAAAAGTTAAATTAATATTTTACCGACAAATCATGAATTAGTATCATTATCTACTAACTTAGTCTAAAAGACAATGTCCAGCATCTACAGCATACAAATCGACTGAAAGTTCACCGTTAATGTCCTTTCTAATGTCACCCAAGTCGAGATATTAAGAGCACCACTTGCCAACACAGGGCCAGCCTGCTTATAGGTATCAATCCTTTACCAAATACTCACTTTTACTCACATTTCCATTTTCAAGGGAGGGTTTATGACTCATACAAGCACCAGAATGTCTAATACAGTCACACTTTCATGAAACACTCAATATAATGTTTTAATTGTCCATATTATTCTCTTATTCTAAACTGTTTAGCACGCATGCATTTTCTCCCCATATTTTCACAAGCTTGTTATCTGTCTTCAGCAGACATGAACATGCTGTGAGAAGATTAAGGCTTCATATAATCGAGGGGGTAATTTTTTTTTTATATATTCCTGTCAGTTGAAATATAAAAAATAAACAGGATGTTTTTAAGTCAAGTCCAAGTTCTGAGGCAAACTCCATCCTATGCAAAATTCAAAATAATAAAGTGCAAATTATTATTATTATATTTAAAAAAATATATGAAATATGCTAAAGGAAAATGGGAAGAGGCTGAATGGGTTTGTGACGTAGCAGCTGCTCAGTGCAGTCCAAAGGTGCCACTACAGATGTTAAAAGCAATAGACTATGTGCACGTTAGCATATGCTACTTACGGTGCAGAAACTCCTGTGGGGAGATTTGTTTCCGGTGTCCTATTCGCGCCTGGTTTACGGTCCAAAACAAGTTAAGCAAATGAATGAATCAAGCGGCGATTTACATTTCTATAGATGTCTTGGGCATTTACCCAATATATCTGTAAATGATGTTCATCGACTTGTTGATATTATTTTTCCCCGCACCTCAGAGCAAAAGAGAAAAGGGATTCAAATTTTATATTTCTCAGTATCT